TATCAGTGTCCCCATGCTGAAAAATGGTGGTATCAGGAAACCAAATACAGAATATGACATTGTTTGCCAGAAAAATTGACATTACTACTCATAAATAGGTAGGATAGAAGCACAAAAAGGTTTTTTGACTTTAGGTGTGACTAAGTGTGTCCATCTCAGGAGAAATAAACAATGCTGTAAGACAGGCAATTCACAATCTGCACCTATACTCACAAGCCATCCCTCCTTGCAATGGTGCAATGTTTTTAAAAACTTCCATTAAAACCAAGGATAAGTAAGTTTAAGCTTTGACATTTTACACTTCACCAAAAAAATAACTTGTTAATAAGTTAGTAAATTTCAGACTAGGATGTTACAGCACTGTATTACAGCAGCCCAGAAAACGCTGTTTATCTCAAAGCAGCAGGGGCTAGCAAAATATTTATTTATTCCAGGGATGGGTGTGGTGTAAAACGGTTTCCCTGCAGCATAGCTAGTGTCTCTTGCTAGAAGCCACTGTTATTTTTAATGTTTTCTAATTCACAAATATAACAAGGATGGCTTTATGGATGTCACTGTCCATGCTAGAGTATTTAGAGACAGATCAATTAAACTCAGCAATGTGTCCTTGACGAAGGGGAAAGATCCAACATCATCTGGCACTGCAACTTGCAGGAATCCAACTTAAACAAGTTAACAGAAGAGTGATATCTTAAAAGGAAAAAGAAACTGAATGGAAAATTTTAGCTAAAGAGAAGTAGAGAGGCAGCTAGCTGTATTAGTCTGAAGTCAGGCAGAAGGCAGGGCAGGGTGCCACTTTAGAGCAGTGGTTCTCAGCCTTTTGAGGCCCACAGAACCCCTCTGTAGCTTCAGTTTATTTCCCGACCATGGAAAAATTATAAACTATTTTTCCTGTCGCAAAGAATACAGAAAGCCCACAAATCAGAGTGGTTTTGGCCCTGTGGATTCCCATTTGAAATCTCTGGGTTAACCTCATGAAGTGTGCTCACTGATGTAGCGCATGCAAAACCCAAGTCACTCTCAGGGAATCTTAACCAACTTTTGGGTTTGCTTTTTTTCATTTTTAATTATAATTATTATTATTTTGCATTCTGGGTCAAATTAGTTGCAAATCCTATTAACTGAACAGAGCTCAATAGCTCAAGTCCATGTGGTGCCACCATTTGCAAGTATCCTCCATCCCAGACTCCTCAGCCATGGACTTCAGATGCTCCCAAATCCATGGGGAGGCATCCTGTGCGCAAGCCTGGAGGTCTTGGGGTTCGGAAACCCCAGATACCACTTGATCTTAGCCAAAAGGCCACCAGCGCTCCTACAGCTGCTTCAAAATGAAAAAATGCTTCAACTTTGATGACCCAATTCTCCCTTGCTCACTCACTACTGACTTAGGGTCAGCAATATACAAGAAATAAGAATCATGTGCAAACTCGTTTACATATTTCCCAGTGTATTTCAGCCAGTAGGATACTTCTGAGCTTCCACTAGGATCATTTCATACCCTGCCCCGCTCCCACGAAGCCGCAGCCCGATTGGGGGGGTGGGGCTCCAGGCGCCCCCCACCGCACCAGACCGGGGTCGCCCCTGCAAAAGTGCCCGACTCTGCCACCCCCCGGGCCGGGCCCTGCCCCTCCGCCACGAGAAGGCGGCACCCTCCCCCCGCCGGGCCGCACCTGTAGCCGTAGGCGGCGAAGCACTGGCTCTCCCGTAACAGGGCCCGGTAGAGCCGCAGCACCTGCGCTCGGCTGGACGCCGCCATCTTGCCGATCCTCTCAGCAAAGCCCCATTCTCTCTCAGTGAGGGGGCGCCCTTCTCAAATGCCTGATTCCCCCGCGCCGCCCACCACGCCCCAGTGAGCAGGGCGCCGGGGCTGGCCTCGCTATTTCTCCTGGACCCCTCTTCCCCCGCCCTAGCCATGGCCTGCCCTATCCTGGCGTGAAGCGGGCAGCTCTGGGCGCGTCAGGCGCGAAGAAGGCAGCTACAGCGCCGGCACGGCGAGGCCCGGGCTCGAGCGGGAGGTGAGCAGGCGAGGTAGCGCGCGAGGGGTGGTGGGTGCGGGGCCTCGCGGCACAGCCTTGGCGCGGGAGGCGGGGCAGCGGCCTCGTGCGCAGCGCGCGGTGGGGGGAGCAGGGTGAGGCCCCCGCGCCCGAGCTTCTATTGCCTGCGCTGTCCGGGGGGCGCCCGCGGCGTAACTTTACGCCTCTGCCGTAATTGTGGCGTATGAGGGGAATGTGCGTGCGTTGGGGCCCTGCTGTGGGCTCAGGTGTAAAGCTGGGTAGAGGCCGACTACCTCTGGAGTTGTTCAACCTTTTCATGCCCTTATTTTCTAGTCCTATTGTTATCATTCTTACTATCCCGCGAGGATCACTTTTGTCTGAGTTTATTGCGCAGATGGCCGGCGAGGAGCGTCATAAATATAAGGGGTGTACCATTGCCGACTCCTGATTTTCAGCGTTGTTCTTAAAAATCTCTGCTTCATGCATGTGAAAAACTTAGCTTTTTCTTTTGTATCTATGCATTTGTTTATGCAAGTATGGTTTGCATTAAAGCTAAGTTTTGAATTGGGGATGCGTGTGGCAGCCATGTTGGTCTGAGACAAAAAGAAATGCAAAAATCTAGACCTCAGTTCAGAAATGATACCTTTTTCTTAGATCAAAAATGAAGTTTATTTTGTACGTATGTGGACTTTTTACCATCTTGAGCTTTCCCTGAGCCTGATGAAGGACGTGTGAGCCCGAAAGCTTGCAGAAAAAGATGCTTTTTTTGCTGTTTCTCAGTTGGTCTAATAAAAGATATTTCTAAACCAGTTCTAGATTTTTGCAAGTTTTAAATTATACATTTAAAGTTTAGCCCTTTTAAATCTATGTATCTAGATAGATATATATGAAAGAGCTAAGTTTTTCACATGCCCAAAGCGTAGACTTTAATAACAGCTCCAAAAATCAGAAGAGTTGGCAGCACTGTGTGTGCCAGTAGGTTTGCTGGTGTGTGGCCCTTGTTTAGGGGTTCTTGGTTCCCCCTGTCCTGTCCTGTCCCCTTGTCTCCCACCCAAACATCTGTGCCAGGCAAGGCCGCAGCCAAAACTGCATCCAGTGTGAAACCTGCATTGTGAACTGTGTGTGTTTGGGGGGGGAGCGTTGGCTGTGGGTAATAAGCATTTGAAGGGGGTTAAAAATATGTATTTTTGGGGGCGGGTGGGGAAAGGAGGCAAACCATCCATTTGGAAGCCCATGGGGCCACCCTCAGCTGTTAGCCCCTCCCATGCCTGCAGCTGTACACCCCTATCAGGTCCCACAGATGACGTGAAGATGTGGTGTTTTGCCAGATCTTAGGGGAAAATGGGGTGCTTCAGACATGTCACGGAATAGGAAACAACCCTGTCAACCCTTTCCCCTGCTAGTTTACTTGGAGCTCCAAAGACTGCCCTCTTTCCCCCGCCCCCTTTTTTTGTGTGCTTCTGTGCAGTTTACTGGATAGATTTTAATGTAACAGCTGGGAGTGGGTCCAGAGGTGGTACACTGGTGCACTTGCACCCTCCCTCTCCCTTTGAATCCTGTTCCATCCAAAGTTTAAAACCGACTGCCTGTCAGTGGCAGCAGCATTTCTAGTCAGGCAGACCAGAAGCAGACTGAGGTAGTCAATTGACTTCATGTCTCATTGTCATCTACCTGATCCCTTCTGAGCTTATTCCACAGGTGTTAATAACCCTCTATGGTCTTGATGTTCCACCAATCAAGCTATCCCTTATTCTATAATTCTGCTGTCTGTTAGCTGCTTCTGTTAATGAAGCTCCCATTTCACAACCTTCCCCCCCTACAGTAGGCAGAAGTTTGATGCTGTGGGCTGGGAGGGGAGAGGGGCGTGTCATCTTCTTTTGCAGCTGACACTAATTTCCCATGGCAGAAAAAAGGAGGTGACATCATCTCCCTGCCCTACCCCATGCAGCAGCAAACCTCAGGCTTCTGCTCCAGTGGGAGCCAGCCTTTTTGGCACGTGCCACAAATTAGCTCCACAGCCTCCCCCAAGTGGCACTCTGATTCCCTTCTGCTGTCCAATCAGCTGCTGTGCTTTCTGTTCCCTGCCGTATATGCCATATGCCTTACACAGAGGCCACTCATGCCACAGGTTGCCCACTCCTGTCCTACACCATGCACTGTTGCTGCTGTTCTGTCCTCCTTGCTACTGGAGCTGGAGCCACTGCAGGCCAGATGCAGGGTGTTGTGGTGGAAGGGAGGGTAAGGTCTCCCCAGGCAGCATCTGGGGCTCATGCCCTACTCACCTGCCCATTGTTACCCTGCTTTTGAAATGGGAAGAGTAAAGGGGGATCAAGTTGGTTAGGTGACAAAGTTGCAAAGGTAGAAGACAAGTCAACAGCTAGTAGTGTTCAAGCTCCTTTTGTGTTTCCTTGTGCTGCCCCCAAATTTCAGTATATGTGTCCATGGCAAGTTCAGAATGTTTCTAAGTGTTCAGAGAAATCCATAGATTACAGGTCAACAATTCCTGCTCTGGGATCCAACATGAGTTGCTCTACATGGTTCCTGAGTTTTGGGGTGGTTAACTTGTAGCCAGCTTAAGTGCTGATATCCTTCATGTATCCAAGCTGTCTTGACTCTTTCCAGAATTCACTGTTTTCATCTGTGCTTTGCCTGAGCCTCTATTTGCATGGCACAGGAATTTCTGATTGGTGGAGGGAGGTTGAATTTTGGGTGTTGCAGTTGCGCATTGAATTCTGGGTGTTGCAGTTGTGGGCCCAGGAGTATTATGCAAGGCCCAAATTTGTTGGAACTGGCCCAGAAAAAAAAATAGCTCCTCAAATCTCCAGTGCAGTGCCTGGCTCACAGAGTGAACAGTTAAGGATGAATACTTACATTCTGCTTGTTTACACACTAGCACTTCCTCATAATTTACATCCTTGGCCTCTGCTCCTCTTCCATCTACCCTGCAAGAATCCAGAGTCTTCTGTACCTGCAAACAAAACATCTCTTGCCTCTGATTCTGCTGGTAGTTTTGCAACTAACAGTATTAATGCTGTCATCCTAATCCATGAGTATTATGCCATACGTGTATCCATGACTGATTTATTTTTTGTACGATATCAATATGAATTAATATGTGGATTGCAGTGTTGCAGTCTGTCTATTATATGCAGATTAAACAGAAAAGAGTATATCTGCCTATGCTGCAGGTGTTTTATGCATCCTCACTGTGTGAGATGATGAAATTACCAAACTCCAGTATGCCTATAGAATAAAGCATCATTTGCATTTCTGGTACAGTTTAGGCTGTGTTCATAAACCAGATCTGTTTGTGTATGTGTAAACAACAGATAAATACCAAAACATCTTTGTTGGACTTGTCTCTGTGTCAACTTACATATTATATGCACACAAGTTTTGTTTTGTCTTCCTTTTGAGGCTTGTGAAAACCAATCAAGTTAAAATAAAATCCATTGTTTTATTCTGTACAGCACATTACTTTTTCTTTATTAAAAGCAAGGCTTAAATTTGAATTGTCCCACAGAACTGTAATTAAATACCATGGTAGAACCGTTCTCTTTGAGGCTTCCTTGGTGGTTGTGGTTGTAAATCTTGGATTTATGTAAACTAGTTCTGCTTTGCATATTAAGGAAACTCAAACAGAGTTTACACACAGACATACTTACACATACTTTTAATTGTCCTTATGCCATATGTTTGCCTTTGTCTGGGTACTTAATATGTAAGTGGAATTTTTTTATTTTTCTTTGTAAATTTAACATCCTTCCTAAAAGTTTCAGAGGCAACCACATTTGTTCTTTCCTCCATATATTTCAGAAATCCAAAAAATTTGAGGCTTTTATGTAGCCAATAAAATGTGGTTTGAGAGTTTACAAAGATTCAATAGGTAAAAGTAACTTTATAGATTGGTTCAGTGATGACTCTAGAAGTGAGGGAAAAAGTAGTAGTTTGGTAGATAGTGCCTGTAAATTTTGAATCACTGGTAAAGCTAGAGGTTCCAATACTCTATTCTTCATCTACTCAATAATGAGGAAGAAGGCAAGACTAGATAAAGAGTAAACCTTTTCTTTGTTTACGGGGACTCTATAACCCTTAAATTGATTTAAATCACTTTTAAATGACTTAAGGTTGTACTAGATGCCTTGAGCCAAGTGTGAACATGCAGGCTCCATAACGAGAAGCAGTAAAGCTGTGTTAATATGTGGTGCTGCATCTGACCAAATCAGACCTGCTTCCCAGGGAAGCTAATTAGCCAGGCAGGAAAGGGTCTGTCTTATTTTTTGTTCCAGACCTAGCATGCACAGAATTAGCTTGCATGCCTTGAGGGCACTGCCATACACTTTGGGTACCTGAAAATAGTTACTATTTCTTCTCAATCCTTTTGCCAACTTTTATGGCTTTACAGTCACATTGTCAAAAAGCCAAGCAGAAGAACCCAATGCACAAATTTCTACTAGATACAAAAGGAAAACAAAAAAAAGATGAGCCGTCCCCTTACCTTCTATTATCTTTTTAGTTGTAATCTCAGGTATTTCTTGACTCTAGTAGCACAGTTTCCAGATAGAAATGGCATTTCTTTTTACGCTGGTGGTATAATTGGACACAGTGATTAATTTTATTATTATGTTTAATTTTGTGCAGCAACTCTGGACTATGCAAAAACAAGCCCTGCTTTTCTTTAGGATAAAGGTCTTGGTTGTGCTTTACTTAAGTCATTGACATATGGGAGCAAGCTTGATTAATTTGTATCTGTGACAGCTGCATTATTGTGGTTAGTTACTTATTTAAAAATATAGGGAGTTTGATGATATCTGTTCAGTCTCATCTTGAATAAAAACTTGGTAGAATTCTAGTCTGTCAAAACTTTGATGGATGATGGTCACTTGGGGGTGTTTTATGCAGTGTTCTTTTTCAGTGGGTGTGTGCAGGTCAGTGAGGAGAAAATGGGTAGGTCTCTCATTGCCTTATCTTCTAGGATATATGAACAGTTTGAGAATGATCTGATAACATGAGCATCTGGCATACTTAGTGTTCTAAATCTGTAGTAGCAGAAAAATAATTTTTAACAAAATACCTGTAGAGATTATGAAACTGTGTGAAACAAAGCAGCTGTTATGTTCTCCAGGGCGTATTTGTAGCTTTGTCATATGTTGCCTAAATTATTCTTTGTGGTGCACTATTTCAGCTTTATGACAGGGCACTCAACACTTTGAGAGGGCATGTACTTTCCTGTTATGCTGTTGTTCATGTTGATTATTTTTCTTTTTGGGGTCAGAATGATAATTGATTGTCATGATATTGTCATCTCTTTTAATTATTATTTTTCTGCTTGTAAAAACGTAATAAACTCTTTTCCCTCCTCCTGCTGTTCTTATTCTCTCTAACTTTCATTACCTTTGCTCCTTGATGGGCAGCATTACTCAAAAGCTAGATTCTGCCTTGGTATCTCTCTTCAAAAGCCATTGAATTGGAAGTGCAGTTCATGGTAAAATTTAACTTCCAACCAATGTTATAGTCAATTATAACTAAATAAGAGGTTGTTTGCTGCCTACATCGGATAGAATTATTTGTGCTAATAAAAAAAAAAAGATGTCCTGAATAACTCTCTCTCTTTCTACGGCTAGTCATTCTTTTTTCTGTTCCTGTGGTTGTCTTGAGAGAGGAGGGTAAGGAAACATTTTTGCAAAAGTTCTGAAGTGATTTAGAGGCACAGGTCTCTGATTCTCCATGGTAGCTTTGCTCCTAAATTACTTACGGACTTTGAAAAATTCCACCTTAAAGGTTTTATTTTACATGGGGGAGGAAAAAAGTGCAAAAGAAGTCCCACGTGAGAAATTCTGTTCCTTTATGACTCCTATTGCAGGAGGCTGATCATCTGTCAGTATGCATGGTCTTGCTTGCCTTGGTTAGATTTTTTTCCTCCTTTATGTCATCAAGAGATAGAAAATGTATTGATGAAATGGAAAGCTTTCGGAAATTGACAAAAAAATGTACAAAAAAGGAATAGGTGGGTTATATCCACAACAGAGCTACTTAAGAGAAGAGCTCTTAAACATCTAAACAGTTTAGCAAGACATTAATGTTTGGATTTAAAATATGTTATTTCAGTATGTGGTATCTCGCTTTGAAAGAAGTTTGCAATGGACAAATGTCTGCCAAAGGGCTTTGAAATTTTTTAATAGAAAGTGCTACAGAATTAAATATGGTTTTCTGTTAAGACTTTACACTAGAACTCAAGAGATACAAAATAATTGATATTTTTAACCCTTAAAATATTAAATCTGTAATAGTGATGCTTAATTCCACAGACTTTCCTAACCTTAATACTGATATAATTTCAAATATTTCTTGGGTCCATTTTCTGTTTCTCATATTGAAATCTTATTAAGAGACTAGAAATGAACAAGTCTCATTAAGGGCTGTGTTCCATAAAGCTTCAAAATTTTGTTCTATGTTATACTTTTTTGTATTTTGTCCAGTCTTAAGTAACTGCCATTCCCTTTGCAGAATATTCCACATTTTAATATGTTTCATGGTCAGGAGATGTTTTCTGATATTCAGTCTCAGCTTTTCCCTTTCATAATTTCATTCCATTAACCCTAGTTATGTTCCTCAGAGGCACTCTCTGCAGTTTCTTCGCTCCATGGTGATTTACACTTTCATCATGTTTCTCCATAGCTGTCATTTAGCCAAGCTAACATATTTAGTTATTTTCATCTTTGTTTCTATTTTAGCTGATGCTGGGATTTTAGCACAGAAAGCAAACTGCAGTGCTGGAAAACAAGGAATGATATTTTAAGAGCAACTGAATTTAAATTTTTCCGTGGCTCATAGCCACCAATTTATTTCTTGGCTGACTTGGAATAACTGACACCCCTGGTCAGTTACAAATGGGACTGCAAACCTTTTTTTTTAAAAAATGTTGCCAAATGCAGTTGAGAGCAGCCTTGCTAAAGCAAAATTAGTTGTACTGAGCTTTGTTTTTGCCATGGATATTTTGTGGCTATGTATAAAATTCATTGCACTAAATGTTTCCTTGTTAAAGAGACCTCCTTTTTCCTGGAACCATTACATGGATAAAAATACATTAAAAAAAAAAAAATGCCAGCCCATCATTGTTGGGAAGTCAAATGAATCTGGGTCAAAGGAAATGATAATCAAGGGAAAGAAGCCAAAAGCCCATATTATATAAACATTGCTGTAGATGGTGAAATTAAATATCTATTGATACTAGCCTGGCGGGGGGTCGGGCTAGAAGATCTACTAGGTCCCTTCTGACCCTAAATCTATGAAACTAGGGAGAACTGTGCATACAGAAGATCCTGTAATATTTTAATTTTCAAAAGACCAAGGGCGTTTGAACCAAAGAACGGCCTTTGGAAGGTTTGTGTAAAGCAGTGAACGGAATAGGCAGAACCAACAACCCACACTTGGGCCACAAGCAGGCCACTCATTTTGTTCACTAGCTCAATGTCTAGTGAAAATCTGGGTGCCTTTTTCCTTGTAGTAGTGGTTGATGTTACAGACTGATGTTATTTTC